ACGCGTGTCGATCCAACGCTCAGCGGCGTACTTGCACCTATATTATAATAATACACATACACGAGCGCGAGTGTAAATAATAATAATAATAATACTATATATAATAACAATATTATCGTTTGTGTATAAATAATATAAGGCGCATACACGTGTGTGTGCCGTCGCAGTCGTTGCGATCGTCGTCGTCGGAGCAGACATCAGTCGTAGTAGTATTACTAGTTGTAGTGGCGTCGGTTATCCAACGGTCGTCGTGTATAATATATTATTATTATTGCACACTCGTTGCCCGTCAGTCGGGTCTGCCCGAACGTCGTTTCCGAGTATCTAACCTACCTACGTTTAAGTCTAATATTCGTCGTTCCGCCCGCAAACCGTTCAGTATTTTAATAATATGGCGCGCGTACCCTGCCGTACGACGTACGTATTCTATTTTAATTATGATAGTTTGATGATGTATTKTAATATTATATTGTTATGTAAACGCAATTTTATTTGAAATATTATGCAAATAAAATTTGGCGTCGTCGGATGCGCGAGTTTTCGTTCAAATATTTTTGATTGCCGTTTTGAATTATTGGTGATGTGTTTTGCAGATGAAATCGACGTCGCAATCGGAATACCTCTCATCTACACGACCGGTCAGAGATAAGTTATGATACCAGTTTTATGAAATCCGATAGATACAAACACGTCCAAATTCTCGGCCCAATTTGTGCCGATTAATAACACTAAAATGGTGGTAGATCATAGTGCATCCAACAGTCCAGGTAAAAAAAATATTATTTAATTTTATATTGTTAAAACCCGATGTAAAACGTTTATATTCCTCACTTTTTTCTCCATCTAACGTTGTCTATTGACGAGTTAATTTATAATTTGACGTTGTATTTGCCTGCTTTCAAAAAATCTCATGACCAGCCACGGGGATCGTATGGAATAATGTCGTGTGTTAAAATTTCACTGTAATTAGGTTCGTTTAAAAAAAAATTTGAATATCTACCATGATACCTGAAGCTAAATAGCTGTAATAATTAATGCAAGTTCTCAGCGTATTGCTCACATAACACAACACCGAAAGACAAGCCAGTTGCGAGATTCGCGTCTGCAGAGATCCTCGTTTGAAATAATATTAGTATAAGTACATTGTACACATTAATCGTCTCGAACTTGGTTCTTCGAGGTCCGACTGATAATTCTATGATAGGTACTTAAAATACCTACTATTATATCATATTATATTATTTTGTAATGTAACATTGCAGGTTACGCGTTTTTACATCGCGTTCGTGATAAGTCTATGTCGGTATTAGGTATGCGGTTTTTATTTTTTGAAATTCGGCCAACATTAATTCGCTTAACGTGTTTTAATACATTTATCAGGAACAACGGTTAAACGCCGTGTTATTGGTATTGGTAGTATATTTTAAACGCATGACATGTGACATGTAACGAATCTAATGAATTCATGTGTGCCATAATATAGCATTTCAATTGGCGGTATAATATTATAGACGAGTGTTGGCAAATGGTGTACCTTAATGTCGCCGTTCAAACTACTAACTACAAACGGTATTAACTAACTTGGTCTGACTATTTATTMAACCCGTGTGACATGTTTCGTTACAGTTTTCAAAATATAAAACTCACGACAAAGTGAACTACAACTGTTATTGTTACAACGTAACTATACGCTGTTCAGATTATTTCGATTGTGGCTACCTCTAAAACCGCGTGTATAGTAAATGTTTGTTTATTTCTCAGTTCGGACGTAGTAGTAGTAGTTTCTTATTCCTTCCAAACGCGTAGTGGTAGGTACCTAATACAATAATACAATAATAATGCATACCCGCGTACCATGCGTATAATATAATATTATTATGTCGTTCGCCCATTCATGGTTGTATTGTGATGATATTATAGTCTCGAACCACTTGTGTATAGTCACCGCCACTGCCGTCGCCGCCGCCGCCGCCTCCACGTGAATCCGTGTGCTCTCGGATCGATGTTCGATCATAATCGAAAAGCGAAAAATAATAATAAAATTTAACATGCACCCGAAAACAATGCCATTGTACGGATTCTTCTCAATCTCACTCACTCTCTCTTTCTCTCTTTCTTTATCTCGGTGCATAATAATATTATTATCGCGTGTTTGCGAGCAATATTGTCGGGAGTTGAAGAAAAAAAAACCATCGTTTTATTATTATTTCCACAGCAACTCTGCGGTGTGGCGATCGTATCTATTCGCGATGATCAGATTTCCCGCGTGCATTGGGCTTGAATTGATTTTTAAACCATCCCGAAAATCCGTTCGATCGTCGATTAATAAAACATACTGYGTGATATTGAAAAAACCACACAACATCGTTGACGCCGAACAACTTCTAAACCTCGTTCGTATAACCGCCGTCATCTTGTTCTTGTTATTATTATTATTATTATTATTTTTCTTCTCGTTTCTCAACAGTGGCGTGTTTCGGTCGATTTAACAACGTTCGTTCGAAGTAATAATAATTATATTAATAATATTGAACGGTCCGAACTTTGGTCCTGTACGCGCGTGTCGTGCAGGCTGCGGTGGCGGCGGTCACACCGAATAAAAATCACTACTGTAGACCGGCGACTATTAACCGTATTGTATAGTACATTGTAGATACGCGTATCGTTATTATTATTATTATTATTATTATGTGACATACACTTCATACTAATATTATCATATAGTAGTGAAACCGGCGGCGGCGCGTCGTGGTGTCTCTCGGGCTCAACCAACTGCAGTCGTTGATGAATTCGGCCTTTGACGTGGCCACGATCGTTATTACAACGATATGGACCCTCCTAACGGCGGCGGTAAAAAAACTACAGTCTTATTTTGCATACACGCGTATCTATTTTCGTTTTTCTTCGCCACATTCACCACAAATTATCATCTAGAGAACAATCCACACTAGTCGAAATGTCACACACTTAGAGCGGGAACTATCATCGTTTWCAGACATTTTTCTTTTAAGCTATCCGTCATCTCATAAAACAAATACGYGCACTTCTCTCGTTATTTTATTCACCACAGTCTACAACGATAATATTCCATCAGTCTTCCCTGTCGTGTATACGACGATTTCGAAGTTTCAACGGTTTAACGTAATATATTGTATTAAAATAATTTTTCCAGACACGAAATTCAATAATGGCAGGGTAAAAAACCAAGAAACTATCGATCTTAAAATCAAAAGTAAGTACCTAGTCCATATCGGAAGTTCATGTTTTTACGGCGTGCTTATACGATTGTAATTTACTGCGGTGTACTTTAATGTTATGTTGTCTTTTTTTCAGGCGGGACGTTAGACAGATACGAAAAAAAATTAGACGCCGTCGAAAATGGTTCGTTTCCCGCCACCAAGGAGGTGGCAGATTTCGAACAAGCCATTGAACTCACTGGTAATTGCAAATTCCGATGTTTCGCAATATTTATACCTACCAAATATGTTTTATATGTTGTGTACCCCATATTAGTTATTTTTATAATAATTATAGCTRATGTGGTCAATCATCGATTGTGCACGATTTTAGAATATTCAAATTAAAAATAAGGCCAATTTAATTTATTTTTGTGTACATTTTGTAATTTATTCGGTTTTTAATTCACGCCACACTTATAAGTAAAATTATCATTGATCACCAATAAATTACAAATAATTTAGATAATTATAACAAGACCAATCTGTGGATTTTCACCTTTAATCTTAAAAATATTTATTTTTGTTTATTTTTTGGACTTAATCTTATGTTCAAACCGTTTGTGATCAAACGTTGTAAATATTTATATTAATATAGTAAAGTAGGTACCTATACCTATTTAATAAACTAAAATATCAAAAATTAATTTAATTAATAATTATACCTACCTATTATTATGTTATGTTTTTTTTTTTTTTAATAACAATATAGTTGTATTCTGTACTTGTAATTATTTTTAGTTTAATTATCAGTATGATTATGTCTTTAGGTTATGGAAAATTCCATTATTTACTGTTGGTCGTATGTGGTTTTGTCAGCACTAGTGAAGAAATGGATGTTATATGYATGTCATTCATATTACCATCAGCCCAATGTGATCTTAAGCTAAATACATCTTCCAAAGGATGGCTAAATTCAATTATATTCATAGGTTAGTGTGATAATATTTTAATATTCAATTTATCATCCACTTAATGAATGCATAATTGTTTAAAATATTCTAGGTATGATGGCTGGTGCATATATTTGGGGTTCACTAGCTGATGCACTGGGTCGTCGTAAAGTATTAATCGTTATAAGTTTTATGAATGCCCTTTGTATTGTTGCTTCTACTTTTGCACAGTCTTATGGTGTATTCATGTTCTTTAGATTTTTAAATGGAGCTGCGTAAGTGAATGTAGTGAATGTAAATCAATATTCTCTTTTAACATTTTTTTTTTATTTTTTGTATTCACCCAAATGTATTGTAAACACGTGTTTKAATACAATATGGCAAATACGACAATTTTTTTTTTTAAATGTTTTAGATTGGGTGGCAGTGGACCAGTTATATGGTCTTATTTCGCTGAATTCCAGCCCAAGAACAAACGTGGTTCAATGTTGAGTTCAATGGCAGCATTTTGGACACTTGGAAATTTGTTTGTAGCATGTATGTTCATAGAGTATTATTGTATTAATTGTTATAAAATTCTGTTAATTGTTGAACGATCATAGTTGTACTTAAAGTTTTAAAAATAAAAATAAATATTATGTAATTTATTTAGCATTAGCATGGATGATCATACCACAAGATATTGGATACAGGTCTCCTACGTTTTTATACAATTCTTGGAGAATATTTTTGGCCATATGCTCCATTCCTAGTGTACTTGTTGCTGTGTTCCTGTTTTTTTTACCAGAGAGTCCAAAGTTTCTACTGACCCGAAATGATCACAAAAAAGCGTTAGAAGTATTTAAGAAAATATATGCTACCAATACAGGAAACGATCCAGAAATGTACCCAGTAAGTTGAGTTACATTACATAATGTATTTAAAAAACACCTGAACCCTTAAAATGTTAAATATCACTAATAGTATTTATATCAAAATCTTAGAATAATAAAAGTATTTTAATTTTAATGTARCTTATAAATATACAACAGTAAAGAGATATAAAATAATGTTATTTTAATTAAACATTAAGAAAAAGTTTCAACGAGTTTAAGATGTCTCAATTTATTATTTAAAAAATTAACACKTCAGATTAATATCAATTGTCCTGCTATCTATTTATTAGATGTGATTTCCAGAAATGTTGTGGATATAATTTATTAATAATTGTTGTAACATTTAAAATTAATTAAGTTAAAATAGGTACTAGGTGTAAAATAATTAGGCATAAATTGCTATGTTCATGAAAGTACTAAGACTTGCATACATATTTGTCATTTATAAGAAATATTACACTACTAAATCAAACCCAACATATTATATATTTATATTAACAATATTAAAATTATAGGTTAAATCATTGGTTACTAAGTCGAATGCTATTGAACATGACACTAAAAAAACTACTTCTTTTAAAAGTATGACTGAAGAAGTAGCTCATAATACTAAGATGATATTTATGCCACCAATATTAAAGTATACGTGGATATCTATTGTGATTAACCTCAGTTTTCATATCGGGTATGTTAAGTTTATGGTTGTATATAAATTGAAAAGTAACCACAATTGGTTTGTTTTTTTTTCAGTTATTATGGTCTCATGATGTGGTTCCCAGAGCTATTTAATAGATTTGATGAATATGCTCGAGCTCATAATGGTAGTGAACAAGCACTTGTGTGTGAGGTACCGTAGCTTTGATGAGTTACTCTTAAATCATTGTTGTATCTATTTATTTTTATTTGTTGATTGGATAGGTGACTGAATTCGTAGTTAAAACAGGATCACACTCTCATGTGGATCTATGTTCAGACAAGATCGAAAGCGGCGTTTTTCTTGAATCATTTATTACAGTGGCAGCTGCCATTCCTAGCAATATATTTGCTGTGTTGGGAATGGACACATTAGGCAGAAAATTCTTTTTRGGTATGTTAAAATTAACTCAATATCTGTAATTATTACATATTATCATTATTAAAAAATGTCAACAATTTTTTTTTTTTTAATTCAGTGTTCAGTACAATGGCATCTGGAATATGTGCTGTTGGCTTGTCACTTATCACAAGTAAAAGACAAAATTTAATAGTATCTGCTATTTTTAGTAGTGCTATTAGTTGTGGTAATGCTGCTTTGGATTGTTTAATCACAGAAATTTTTCCTACAAATTTAAGGTAGTATAATGTGATTAGTGGCTATAATAAAATTTATCATCAAACTAAGAATTTTGAATGTAAAATAATTAATTGTCATATTTTTTAACGGATAGAGCTACTGGAATGGCCATATCAATGGTAGCTGCCAGACTTGGAGGTATTATTGGAAATATTGTTATCGCTGCGTTGCTAGATCTCTATTGTCCATTACCTACTTACATTGTAGCTGTGCTCCTGATAGGTAAGACACAATTATGCAATATTAATACTGGAAAAACAGTAAGTATTTTAAAACAATACATTTTTTATTTTTAGGTGGAGGGCTTTTGTGCCTTTTGTTGCCTAACACCACGAGAGAACCATTAACGTGACCTATTTATGGAAAAGATTATATAATAAACAGATTTTAAGTCTATCATTATTATTTTATTTTCATTAATTGACATGACATTTTGTTAGTTTTAAAGCCTTTATAGACACATAATATGCACACTTATTTATATTTATGAAAAAAAAGTTCTTTTAATATAATTGTATTAATTTGTTGTTTACTGTATAATATGTATAATATGTGTATACTAGTACACATATGTTTGTATAGATATTTTCCAGACAAAATTTCTAATATACTATTGTTTAGTTTATTATTATTATTATAATTATAATAATTTTTTTTTTTTTTACTGTGAATCTCTTGTGAATATACTGTTAACCTTAATATTTTAGATTCCAGTATTTAGTTAAGTTACATTAATGATGAAAACTACAGTGTTAAAATTACATATATACAAATTAGTTGCTATTCTTAATTTTTTTATGTTTGTTTAGCCATAATTAAAAGTTTTATTTAATACCAAATAAAAGTATAAACAGTTATTTATCTTAAAAAACTTTTGTATGAATATGAATCTAAGTTATATTGGGGTAAGTACAAATTATAGAAGGTTTACACAAATAACTTCAAGAATGGTCAAAGTAGTGGTGGTGTATGATATAAATTTGGCCCTGGAATACTTGAGATAAAAAAACATGATGCGCTGACATCCTTTTAAGTGAATGGAGCCATTATAATGTACATAATATGTGTACATATTTTGTTCACAATTTTCAAACATGTACTCCTAGATAAGTAATAATTATGAAGCAGAAAAAAAAATAACCAATATTTTATAACAGCAATATTTAAATAATGTGTATCATTGTAATATTACTATTTAATTCATTTTTAATTAAATTCTATTGTTTCTATTTTTAACCCTTATGTTTCTAATGACATGGCACCATGTCTCAATAATTATTAGAAGAATGTACAATAATATATAMATTTCCTAATAAACCTTTGCCATTTTAGATTTAAAAAAATAAAATTATAAGAAAAAAATCTAATGTATGAACGAAAACTGTTTGAAATGTAAAGTGTATTAATAATGAAACAAACTTAAATGTAAAATTAAATTCAAAAGGCAGAATAGGTATGTGTAAAAAATAATATTAATGCTACAACTGCATTAGAGTTTACCAACTCATGGAATTATGGCACATGGTTTTTCTTGGGAAATGTTTTTCCGATTAACGAAAATAGAAAAAGTATGTGGCAGTGTCCTTAAAATATTCAATTTAAAATKTTTTCAGGATTTCAGATTCTATCAACTATGTAAGACGACGTAACTACGTGAGTATCATACATATTGGTACATTTGATTTTCGTTATGCGTGAATATATAGTTTAATATAAGTATTAGGTCATAAAATAACAAAGTTATTTACAAAGTAATATTTTTGTGTASCKWRSGTACTTTGGAAAACATTATTCATTTTTCGCTTTAGACGAATACATTTTTTCTTTTAAAATATCTAATAAAATCGATTATTTATACCTCGTTTTCCATTTACCTCACACTTGTCACTTGTGTACTAATAAAATATGATWGACACAAACGGTGTTCAMAATTTGGGGAAGTGCTGAAGTTCATGCAGTTCCATACAGACTTAAATGGTAGAGGCTTTTCTGATATTAAAATACTTCTAAAAATGTTAAAATAGGTAAAATCTTAAGGTTATTTTTGGAGGCTATATACCAGTCGGGTTGGAGGAGAGTTTAGCCGTCCTTTATTTGTGTCTACGATGATAGGTCTATAGATGTAAATATAATCTATTAGCATAATAAATAATAATTACCAACCAGTAGATCTTAAAARGACAAYGATCGATTGTATAAAAAAAAATATGAATTTCCCCAATATCGGTTGATCAGGTGTGTAGTCTTAAATACTTAAACAAGCTTTTCCGCTTTATATATACAAAGTAAAGTGAAGAAAACATACATTTTTTCGATGGAAAAATAATTAAAATAAGAATAATGA